GCCAGAAAAACATCATTAACACATACTAATTACAACTTGCTAACTACTCAAACTTGTTAACCACCACTAAAAAATACTTTCTATGTAACTCTAACTCTAAACTCTAATCCGCTAATCACTAACTAATATTTTTTAACTCTAAAACCAACCACTAACCAACTAATACTTTCTAAATTTAACACTAACTCTAACTTGTTAACAAAGCACTAAACTGGCTATTTAATAACTTGCTAATTATAATATACTAACTACAAATCTTGTTTTAAATTGCTAATGCTAATCTAGTATTAATTCTAATGTATCTACTATTCTATTTCAAAATATCTGATTGTTACCAATAACTTAAATTTAAACCGATGGTTACTAACTTGCTAATTCTAATACTAAATACATATTGTTAGTTCTGATGATTAATAAAAAGCTAACTATTACTTCATTAATTTATAACTCCTAACTACTAATCTATTAAATCTAACTTCAATCACTCTAAACCGCTAAATCTAATTCAAACCAATAATGTCAATTTTAACCTACTAATCTCATGATTTTTAACTTAATATCTACTAGTAATCAAACACTGACCTGATTATGATCTTTACTTGACTAGTGAGTATTATACTAAGCAAAAATTTGCTCTTATATATTTGAGTAAAATATAACATTTAGTAATACTCATTGATGTTATTAAATTAAAATTTCTTAACATAAACTTTCATCCAACCCTAATAAATCTTTAAGTTTTAACCTGATGAAGTTTTAATTTGGCATACAACATCGAATATACAGTATACTAAATATAAATAACCATGTATAAGACCTGTATATTATATAGCTAGAATTTAAAATATATGCATACTTTGCATTTATAAAAAACAATTCGGATTGCTAAAAAAAAGACATACTTAGTAAAGAATCTGATAATAAAAGATATAATCTTATATGGCAGTCATATGCGATAAAATGAGGCAATAATAATATGTTAGAGGTTCACGCAAATATACATTATGTAGTTAAACAATTAAGCAGTAAATATTTCAATTGCACATATATACTATTTTGATAACACATAAATTGAACTTCATCTAATCACTTAAAAAAATATAGAACTTAATTTTTTTGATGCTATTTTCACAACCAGCTTTATTATACCTAAATTGATGATATTTTTGACATTCTGTTAGTTTTCGCTTTATAGTTTTTGATCGCTCTATATTTTTCTGCTTAGTTTCCTGTGATCCCTTTAATCGTGTTTTGCACGAAGCATTTTTTTTAGCCTGAATAATAGGATTTTGAATTAAAGATAGATCTATATTCTCAATGCTTTCATTATTATTTTGAGGGTACAATTCACCATTATCATCATAATCTGAGTCAAAATCAGAATCACAAGAAACATCTGAAGAATTTTCTACATTTTGAGATTTAGCCAACAATATTCTTTTGAAGTTTTTGCAAGTTGCTTCTTGATTATATTTCGGCATATGTTTTGCTATAAAACTTTTCATGAGTGTGTTTAATTCTTGTATTGCCAAGGGTTCCGCATCCAATCCCATTTGGATCACCTTTTTAGAAAACCCGTTAGCTGTTATATACTCTTTTTGTTGATTTAAAGATTTATAAACATGTTCATAAGAAATATCAGTGACCTTGTAAAGCATTATTATGAAGATTTCAGGATTTACAGTAGGTTCAGAAGACTCTTAGAAGCTATCGGTAAAAGGTTGTTTACGAAGAACTAATATATTTTCAAGTTGTTTATCATTTTTGTATCATCATTTGGGTATAAGCATCACGTTAAATTTTGCATAATTTGAGATACCTAATAAGCGAAAAAAATATCAGCATACAATGCCACATTGAACCAGACCAAGACAGGTACAAAGATAAGAATAATCATTAAAAAGAACTACATAGTTTTTTTAGTACATCTATGATGAACTAGTTTCCAAATCTCAAAAATATCATCATAGTGATTAGTCAGAATGAGTTCTTTTAAAAGTATTAGTAGAACATCAACTATATTCTCCGAAAAACTAGTATCAAATGACTCAACTTCATTTTCAATTTCAAAAGCACAGTTCTTATCTACTAACTGAGAATTGTATCTGTTATATATCAAATTCATGTTAGTTTAAAATTAGCAGTACTATAAGCATAGGATTGATTTTCTATTTATGTGGTTTCCAAGATTAACTAGCCAATTAAAAATCAGAATCATATGTAATATAAAAAATTTCAAAACATTCGCTTTGCAAAAATCATATTGATTTCAAAAATTATACTAGTAAACCACCCTTTGGGTTCTAACAAATAAAAATTTTCATGCAATTTTACTATAAGACCACTTTTTCTAACCTTAACATATACCTAAACTCTAATATATGCCTGAATATTAATATAAGTAAATCTTTTTGTTTGAAGACTATTGACCTTAACAGCCACGTAAACAAAAATCGATCTTGTGCTTGTCAATTTCATACTCAAATTAATTTCACAGTATGTAACATACTATACGGTTTATGTGATTTCTTGTCACTGTATTGAAAGGGCGGCAAGTGTCAAGTAATCGGTGATCCATTTATCAATTGTTGGTGAAAAATCTTGACTTGAATGTATAAGAGTTGAGTCGGTTACAGTATGTCTCCAATTTCGATATTGTATAATAATAGATACACGATTAAATTGTTCATCAAGTTTTTTAAAAAGTTTTAAACCGATGTATGACTATTAACTATACTTTTAATTATTGTATTCTGCTCTTCTGTCCTTTGCGTAGTTTGTATACCCACTGTAAAAATACGTGAAGTATAACAAAGCGCCTACTTTTGCTTTTGAGATCCAAGTATCTTATTTAGATACATTTCTGAACTAGAGTATTTTTTAAGAAGGGAGTCTCACAGGGAATCACATTCAGATTGTGACAAAGTGTTTCTCATTTGATACTACTCTTTAGTAAAATCATCATATTGTGATCCCAGTTTAGACTTCAAATTCTTTAATAGATTCTGGCCAATATGATACATACAATAAATATAATATGTATCTGGCATTATTTTGAAAATTCTGGTATCTATAGCGAGATCGTTATCTGTTATGATTACTGATAGAAAAAATTTGTTAATTGAACAAGAGAACGAAAAACCCATTCAAAACTTTTGGATATTTTGTCGCTCATTAATGTTTGTCCTACTAAATGGGACTGATTATTATTGTCCACAATTACAAAGAGTCCAAGTGCTATTTTGAACTGATTAGTTGAATAAGTATTATCATATTGAATTACATCACTATATCAAAGATACAATTCATATTAATCTGGTGTAATCCAAAACAAAGATATTAAAGAATTATTTGTTGGGTCTACACGCCAATTTATAATCCATCTTGTATTTTTGGCTTTACGTTTAAGGAGGTGATTAATTAATGTAGCTGCTTCATCATCAACCTGTTGTTCTCTTTTCACCCTTTAAATCATATTTGACA